TATTAAAATTATCATTAAATTATCTTGTGGACAGATTTCAATCACAATGTTGTCACATAAAAATTTTGCCCCAATCTTAAAATTCCTTTTCTTAAAATTCCACCTTTCCTGAGGTGTAATTGACAGAAAAAATCGTAAGATGTTTAAAGCGTACGTAGTGGTGATTTCATATACATATGCATTGTGGAAGGATTCCTACCACTAGCTAATTAGGGGCAATTCTTACTGTAACTCCCACCTGTCAAAATTCAGATCACATTTTGGTAGAAGTCACATTTTATGATTCTAGTGGTGGCTTTCCAAGTTTGGTCCCTTGAACAGCAGCACCTAGTGACACCTGAGAACTTGTTAGAAACACCTGGTTGAAATTCAAATTCTTGGACTCACTCAGGCCTACTGAATCAGAAAATCTTGGGATGGGCATCAGCAATCTGTATTTTCACAGGTCTTCCAGGTGATTTAATACCCACTAAAGGATTGGCTCACAGCCAGGGAGGGCTAAATCTATAAGTTAAACTACCAGTTTCTGCAATGGAAAAGAATATGTCTTGCTCCTACTCTCAGTGAGTCTCCAATCCAACTTGAAGGATAAACTACAGATGCAAGGGATGTTACAAGAACAATACAAGATTTTTGCAGCATCTCAAGGCAACATCAGAAGAGACATGACAAAGATACTTTGCCAAATGTTTCCCTTTAAATGGCTTCCATAACCCCAGTCTCTGCCTCCCTCTGCCCACCACCAATTTCAAGTTGTTCAGTTCCTTTTTCATCGCTGGTGAATTCCAAGCAAAGCAGAGGTTTTGAAGGTAATGCAAGTAACAACTGTTGCATTTTTGTTTTATAATGCTTTATGCCTTTTTAAGGGCATTTATATAGATCATGTTATTTGATCTTTGCAATTCTCCTATAAAGTTTAACCTACTGGGAAATTTGTGTGCCAATTTAGAACCTTCTAATAAAGTCCCTAAATTCACAACCACTTTTTGAGAGTAGATTATATGAGCACTTTCAAATAAAAATTATTTCTAACCCCTACAACTCTGCAAGCTGTCCCAAGACAGCAAATATACTCAAGAATGTAGAAAATGTATTAAAACATATACCATAAAATTACATTAAAATGAAACATTAACTATTTCACAAAGTATGTTAAATCCTGTATGAATTTAATACGGTGCTATTTATTACAAAAAGTGATGGTATTGTAAGAGAGAAGGTTTCATTTCCCAGTAATGAGGGTGAAGGAAAGGGAATGACAACATATGACTTCAAAAATTCCTGCTCTAAAGAAAGTGTTTTCCTTCTACAATTCCCTTTAATATCTGAATATAACACTTATTATTTTTCCTGAAAAATCTAAGGTTACATTCAAAATTGGGATAATTCACCAGCTCCAAAACACAGTAATTATTTTATAACCCAATAGAAGTGGTATCAATAAAATTCCCTCATTCTTACAGATTTCCTTGTTCTACCTGCATTAGCTCCTCCCTTGAGGGGTGGTGTCTGGGGGAATCAACATCTCAACCACACTGGCCTCTATGATGTCTTCATGGCTAAGCCCTTTAGCAAAGGTCATGCTTTATTGAGTCTGTAGTACAGTTTCAGTTTGGAGGGAACCATACTTTTTGTGATCACTCACGTGACAGATCTTCCACAGAGCATTCTTTGTTAGTGAATGGACTCTGTTAAGACCAGACACTGGTCCAGGCTGCCCATAATATTGTAGACTCCCTAACTGTAGGCTTATTGGCTTCTTTAATTCATCAAGGGGGCTGATGAGAAGATGGATACAGGCATTAAACCTCAAAAGTGGCATTTGCACCTTGATCTACTGGCTATGAAATACTTCTCCCTCAGATGATCAGATAAATCACCTAAATATGCAGGTTGGCTTGTGGCATTATCTATCTGGAGTACAGAACTTCTGAACAAAAGGGCAGAAAATGTAAGTGAGCCATCACTGAGAATTGCTCATTGGCGTCCCGCCCCCCTGTTAGATGATAAAACTGCTCTCAGGTCAGCTGAGGAGCAGACCTGGGGAGCCCCGGGATTTCCAAATAGTGGATTAGTAAACACCTCACTTTTAAAATCATCATCAGCATGGCCTCAAGTAACATCTGGCTGCTTTAACCTGGGGCATTATTTTCTTCCACTAAAATAAGTCTTTTCGGATAATCCTTTGCAATCAAGCTCTGTCACATCAACTGAAAAGTTGATTTCAATAAAGGAAGCCAACACATTAGGAGACTTGCAAGAGCTTTATGTGTCAGAATTGCCATTTTCCCTGTTCATCTTAATGCTCTGCAAACTATCCCTCTTTTGTAATCTTACAAATCATTGTCTGCTACCCACTAAAAATTTCCACTTCAAAACCATGACTTCCTCAAACCATGAGCCCTCAATCCTTGTGGCTTCTAAAAAAATCATGGTGCTCACTGCTAAAGTACTTCTGATCCTATGCCCACAGGTACTGAATAAATCACCATCAAAACATTTTTATGATAAATCAATTTACTAGCACCTAAAAGTCTAAGTGCTTGACAATCATTAAACAAATATTTTCTCAATTTTGTATAACAGAATGTAAAGGGAATGATTCCAAGTACTTTTGCCATTTAGCCAAGTCTTAATCATTGTCAATTGCCTTAACACTTAAGATTTTACATTTAACTAATTGATAAAGTTTCCTTTTCCTTTAGCATTTTTCACTGTTTGGCTTCTTTCCATAGATCTTTAGCCTAGGTTTGAAACTGGTGTGAACATACACTTCTGGCAAGTGCTTTTTTAGAACTTTAAAAGGGAGGCTTACATTTTTTGTTTTTTAGTTCTTCTTCCCGCCTTGTTCTAGTCTGGGTTTGTTGCTTACTTAGCAAAACAGAAGGCATAACCAATTAAAAAAAAAAAAAAGCAAGAATAAAGAAAGTAAAATAGAACCTGAAGGAAGAGGGAATAAAGAAAGAAGCAGGGAAGATAAACTTTTATAGTTATAAGCTACCTCAAGAAGTAAAATTCCAGAAAAAAAGTTAAGGAAGATGGCCACTTGCCTGTTTTAAAGTTTCCCATAGTCTCAGGAAATTCAAACCAATTTAAAGATGCTCTGTGGATACTGTGGCAACTTAGGCCCCTTGCCCATTATGTCAGCTCACCTGCATTAGCTGGAGGCTCCAAGCTAAGACATCAAAATCCTTTTGAAGATCAAATGTAGATAAGCATCATGAACAAAAAGACCGCGAATTGTTTGGGATGACACAGCCATTTCAAACTAAACTTCTTAAAAACTTTAAACATACTACCAAACAAACAAAAACACGCACCAAGACACATGTGACTCCTAAGTTTTGAAAAACGAGCCATCCATATGTTTGCTACATACAGCAAAGATACTAATGTTTTGATAGAGAGCTATTGCTTCCCAAATCCATTTCCAAGAGATGGAAGCAAACAAGACTAGATCATCACCAGAAAATACATTGGATATTGGGCCATTTTTCAACTGATTCTGCTTAGCTGTGACTCTTAACTGCTGTGTTCCAGGTCTTCAGTAAAATCAGGGATTTATGAATGGAAGAAGCAGGGAATGCTCTTTAGGCGCTTTTAAATTGATTGTTAATTTAAGGTGCTAAAATAAATGTTCCTATATCTAATATCTGGCAAATCAAACAGGCACATATACAAACAAAAGCTAATTACGCTTTTTCACATATATATCTCATACAAAATATTTATGCATGCTGATAACAGTGTCCTTGGCATATGGCATGTGTATATATGGACTTGTATCTGAAACCTCTGTAAGATTTGGTCAGCCACTCAAAGAAGCTTTAATCTCATCGCCTTTGGTCTCAGAAAGCAGAGGGGCTCTGTTATCACCAAGAGTAAAGTAGCCAGAGCAACTGATTAAGGGCCAGGGACACTGGGACAACGTGAAAGAAGGCTTGATGACTGACGTTCCTTGAAATACTGTATTTGCTTAATGCCCTTTCTCCTGCGTTTGGATCAACTAAGAACTAAGTTTAAAAAGTTATACAAGCATGTCTTTCTCCTATTCCACTGTTATGCATCAGTGAATTCTTAATTCTTTATGGTTTATTAGTACTTTTAAAAGGAGAAAAAAAAAACCCAAAAAAACCAGTCTGCTGCCAAAACCTGGCTCTGGAATCAGATGGGGGTGGGAGTAGGATTTGCAATCCACAGAAAATAGAAAATTCCCATTGTCTGGAATGTGGAGCTAATGGGACTTTTGCTTTCATATTCATAGCATGACAGTGAGAGCTTTCCAAATGTGAGGATGGTAACTAATTATATTTGCACAAGTACATCACCATTATGAGTGGAAAATGCACAAATATCCGAGCTAAGAAAGTAAACAAAACAAAACTTCCTTACGGCTTATTAGTCCTTTCTTATTTTTCACTACACACGTGAAAATTTCCAAATACAGAGTCATCTATTATTCAAACCCGGGCAGAAGGAAGCCGGGCTAGGGGTGCCCTCCCATCCCCCCTCCCTCAACTATTGTTAACAAACAATAACGAACATTCTTCCAAGTTGGCATACTGGTGTGACGTTTTTCTTAGAAACCTGGGGCTTCCTTTTAAAATGCAAAGAAGACAATGGCTGTTCCATTAAGAAATCCACATGCAGCCTGTTACCTGCTTAAGGGGGAGGCATTTCCTTTGAGTCTAAATCAAGTTAATAAATTTAAGATACCTGGGGGGGGGGGTTGGGTGCGCTAAACTTTTTGCAGAAGTCCAGGACAAAAAAAGCTAATCCATTAGTTTACTTTGTTTCTTTATGAGAAAAACCAGTTGGCTGCCAAACCTAACTCAGAATTCAGATGGGGAAGTGGGAGGGTGGTCAAGGGCAGTCCATTGATAAAGCGCAATAAAGATGATCTTAGGAGACTTTTTCTCATATGAGTGTTCCATTTAACCAGAGTGAAGGGTCTAGAGAAGGTCAGGTGATATGGCTGGGTCTACCTTTGCTGTCATTACCTGGATAAAGGTCAGGCCCGGGCCCAGGGGAGCATCCCACTGCCCCATCTGCAGCAGCGTCTCGTGGGGAAGTGGCCGGCTGCAGCGGTTGCACGGTGAGGCAATCCGTGAGCAGGTCAGGGTGAAGTTCTGCGCTGGACCGCAACTAAGAGGAGAAAACAGAAGACAGATGGAAAAGGAAAGCTGTTTCCTGGAATACTTTCCTGGAAAGGCATCATGCCCCAAGGTTTAATGCAATTCAATCCACAAATATTTACCAAGCAACAGCTATAGGTTAGAGACATTGGGATTAACAGAGTCAATACAGGGGTCAGTTTTCCAATCCTAATAACACCTGGCAGGTGTTTCAGGAAAAATGTGGCTGGAAGTCCCTGATATTTCGACTTCTGAGAACTCAACTTCTATTATATTTCCTTTTATTTGCTCTGTATCTTATCAGAACTTGTAGTGATAACAAAAACAAACTCTAGTATATGTAGTACAGATTGGAAAGTGCTTTTAAAATACATTGATACTACTATGAAAATATTGTAGAGATAATTAAGCAATGTCCATTGAAATCTGACGTCTATAGATTTTACAGGAGAAAAAATTCACTAGTTAAATTTTAAAATAGTATGGAGCATGATTAAAAGAAAAACCAATGCAAAATAATGAAATTGGAACACTTCCTAATACAAGAACAAATTCAAAATGGATTGAAGACATAAATGTAAGACCTGAAACCATAAAACTCCTAGAAGAAAATATAGGGAATAAATTTGCAGACATTACCCTAAGCAATATTTTTACTGATACATCCCCGTGGGCAAAGGAAACTAAAGAAAAAATGAACATATGGGATTACATCAAACTTAAAAGTTTTTTCACAGCAAAGGAAACCATCAATAAAACAAAAAGGAAGCCTACTGAATAAGAGAAGATATTTGTCAATGATATATCTGATAAATTTTGGTTAACATCCAAAATTTATAAAACACTCATGCAACTCAACACCAAAAAAACAAACAACCCAATTAAAAATGGGCAGAGGATTGAAGAGACATTTCTCCAAAGAAGACATACAGATGGCCAACAGGCATATGAAAAAATGTTCAACATCACTTAGCATTAGGGAAATGCAAATGAAAACCACAATGAGATACCACTTCACTCTGGTCAGAATGGCTATCATCAATAAATCAACAAACAACAAGTGCTGGCGAGGCTGTGGAGAAAAGGGAACCCTGCTTCACTGCTGGTGGGACTGCAGATTGGTGCAGCCACTATGGAAATCAGTATGGAGGTATCTCAAAAAGCTGAAAATGGAACTACCTTATGACCCAGCAATTCCACTCTTACGTATTTATCCTGCAAAACCCAAGACACTAATTCAAAAAAATATATGCACCCCTATGTTCATTGCGTCACTATTTACAATAGCCAAGACTTGGAAACAATCGAAATGCCCATCGGTAGATGACTGGCTTAAGAAACTGTGGTACATTTACACAATGGAGTATTACTCAGCTATAAAGAAGAAGGAAATCGTACCATTTGCAACAATATGGATGGACCTAGAGAACATTATGCGAAGTGAAATAAGTCAGTCAGAGAAGGACAAATACCATATGATCTCACTTACATGTGGAATCTAAAGAACTGAATAAACGAGCAATGTAAACAGAAATAGTCTCAGAGACACAGAGGAAAAACTGATGATTGCTAGTTGGGAGGGGGTGGGGACGAGGGAGAAGGGGAAGGGATGAAACAACATAAATTGGTAACTATAATATGGCCTCAGGGATAGGAAAGACAGTTTGGGGAATATAATCAATAATGTAAATGTTTTTTAGGGGGCCAGAAGGACTCATGTCTTGTTAGGGAGACCATTTCAGGGACGGTGTAGAGGCCTGACCACTACACTGTACATCTGAAGCTGCCATTGAATAATATTATATGTCAACTATAATTTAATACATATGTAGTCATGGGATATGGAGTAAAGTGTGGGAATAGAATCAATGGAATTGTAATAGACATGTATGATATCGGGGGCAGTGGATGGGGGGAGGGCGGTTGTCATTTTGTAAGGGGTGAAAAGGATAACTATTGCATTGTTCTGTACACCTGAAACTAATAAAAAAAAGAAAGAAAGAAAAACCAGTATCATAGCAGAAACAGATCCCCAACAGTAAGTTACATGAAAAAAAACAACCAATTTCGATCTTTATTTTATCAAAACAAAACAAATTATTTATTAAAGTTACATGTAAAAAAATATAAACTCATAAAAACATTACAAAAAAGTCTAGATGAAAAGTTATCTGATCTCTTTATGAAAAAGTACTTTGTAAGTGTAGTTCAAATGGAAAAAAATCACAATGCAAGATTTAGTTACACAAAAATATTTACCTTCTGCTTATATAAAAACATAACACCTTAAAAATCTATAAATATATTTGTTACAGATATTGCAAATAGGTATTATCTCCAGTGTTTAAAGGGAGCATGTAAGTTGATATTGTCTTTATCAAGACAAAACTAAACCTTTAGATATAGGGCTGGAGTACCCTTGCTCATCCAACAAATATTTATTGAGTGTCAGGCACTCCTCTAGAATCTAGGAATACTGTGTTATGGAACTTGCACTCTAGAGGGGAAACAGATGAATAAATAAATATACAGTATCAGATGGGCATAAATGCTATGGAGAAGAGTTGATGCAGAGAAGGAAGACAGTGAGTTAGGGGTGAAGAATGGCGATTTTAGAGAGATGATCAGGGAAAACCGCTTGGAGACGGCACTTGTAAACAGCCTTGAAAGAAGTGAGGGAGTGAGCCCTGCAGATATATGGCGAAGAACCTGCCTGCCTTGTGGTGTGACTGGGATTATCTGAGGAATAGTAAGTAAGGCTGGAGTGGTGTCAGCCTGGGGCCTGAGGAAGAGGAATACAAGATGAAACCAGAGATGTAAGTGGGGAGAGAGAGGGTGTCAATTTAGTGTCCCTCTCTCCCTCCCTCCCAAATTAGACAAGCAGGAAAGGGCCTTCCAGAACACGTAAGGCTCTTAAACATTCACTGGTCCAGGCATTATCTACCAGTTGAGAAGGGAGGCACACAGCAGAATCTCCTGGGTGGGAACTGCCGCACCATGCAGTCCTTGACATGAACGTAAGATTTTTAAAAGGTAAAATACAAATGACGATACACATAAAAGTGTTCAGCAGACTTGCAAAGAAATGCAATGTTAAAGGTTTTCTTAAAAAAGTATCAATTATCAAAACCTTTAAAAAAGCAATGGTAGTGAAGGTACAGTGAGAGGGGCATTCTCAAACACTGGTGGTAGGAGTGTACATTGGTACAAACTTTCTAGATGGTATCTGGCAATATTTGTTCAAGACCCATAATTTAAACCATTTGATCACAGGATCTGTCTTAAGAAAACAGCCAGAAGAAATGTGAAGGAAGATTTATACCCAATGCTCCAACAATAGTCCACAAGTAGGGCTAATGAATGCTCTTATATCAATTTGATAAAATATTATGCAGCCATTAAAATAATGCTCATGAAGATAAAAGCAAAACACAAAATTATATGTGCAAAATAATAATTATATAAAAACATATAGACAAAATACTGTTAAGAAAATGTAATTCAATATTAAAACTGAGTTTTGTTCCTAAGGGCAATATCATGAGTTTATGTCCTCTGCTTTTTTTAAAAAATCACTTCCTGTGCTTTCCAAATCCCAGTGACGGGTTGGAGCTGGCGTGCACCAATCCAAGAGCATCACTCATGTGTATCATTTCCAAACTTCCCATGCAATGATGTCAGGCTGATAGCTTGAAATTGATCATGGTAAGAATATTTACACCATGGAAATTGGCAAATGCTACAAATTGGGGCATTTTTATATGCAGAGCTGGTTGTTAACACTACCAGCACACCACCACCAATGACTCTGATCCACCCTCTGATCAGAAAAAAGCACACACAGATATAAGACATAAGTCAATTACCATTTAGAGAGCAGTATTTCTTGGATCTCAGAAAGCTTCAGGAAGAGACATAGGTTAAGGTCTTAGTCCAAGAATATGAAAATGGCATAGTGACCCTAAGTACAGGGAAGAAGCATTTAACACATGGAGTGAATGAGACATAATTATAATTTCCTCGGCTTTGCTACACTGGAATCTCTGACCAAGACTGTCTGAGTTAATGCCTAGCCCTCTCAGGGTCTTTGGAAAATATGTTTGTTATTTTGGTACTAACCTAACACATACCGCGCAAGAAAAACTGGAAAAAAAATCAAGGCCTAGAATGAGTTCTGGTGATCACTTTTAATTTGTCTCCCATCGTTAAAATGTGATCTGGGGCCCACATGTTCCACGAGGCATGGACATGAATGTCTCTCTGCTTTCTATTACCGACTACTCCAGGGTTTTACAGTTATCAGTACCAATGAGGTCTTTCCAAGGAATTTCACGGCCATGGTTACTCCTGGAGTCAAAGGCAGGCAATTCTTCCTTAGCTTCAGCAAGTTTTCATGTTTTCCAAGAGTGTGATTCCATACAACTTTGTGGTGAGAGTTAATTTGGTTTTCTCTGAGATTAGGCATGGTTCTAGAAAGTGCTTCTAAATTGAACAAGCCTTGAGGACCTTATGCAAAATTTCCAAAGGGGGGCCATACACATAGAAATGCAGTAATGATATATAAGTTTAGTATCCCTCTCAGATTATTAGACCAGAAAAGGGCCGTCCAGACCATTTCAGGCTCTTAAATATTCTCTATTTCAGGAATTATCTACTGGGTAAGGCAGGAGAGACATAGCAGAATCTTCTGAGAGGGATGTTTTTCAACAAAACACAGTTTTTCATTTGGAATAAGAAACCCAACTATTTATATAAAATAAATTACATAATGGATATTTCAACCACATCTTCCTAGCTTCTAGGAATATAAAAAAGACAGAGGGAAGTTTTCCAATGGGAGGTGGTCTCTCACCTAAGGTTCTCAAACCTGGGTATGCATGAGAGTCACCTGTAGGCCCACCCAGAGCTGTGATTCTATGGGTCTGGGGTGCACTTCTGACAAGTTCTCAGGTCACGGTGATGCTGGTGGTCTGGGAACCACACTTGCAGAACAGGATTCTAAGAATCCTG